ACACCTACATACTTAAGCCATTGCAGAGCTTTCTCCCTAGCTCACTTCAGTGGTGTACCTTCTAGAAGGAATGTACAATAACATTCCCATTTCAGAGTGAATATGCTGATGAGAAGTTTAAGAAACTGAATCTCTACTCCATGCATTTCTATACTGCCTGTTCTACATGATTTCATACACTGACTTTAGAACTCCTCTTATAAGGAGGAGAAAGTAGAACACCGTGGACACCTTGCTATCAAATCAGCACTCTGAGATCACTAGAAGAATTGCAAGCTTTCTGTCACCATTGCATTGCACCAGAATCTATTAGAACAAGTCTAGGCCTTTTTATTGCTTATCTGTATATTGCTTTCTTCTGCCCTTTGGCTTTTTAAAAAATAATAGTTTTTTTTTGTTTTTACTTTATTTTTCTGTATTATCTGATCTTTGAATGAATAAATACATCGACAAAGGAAAGACAGGAAAAACAGCAGTGCCCGTGGGATTTTCTGGCTGCCAGTTCTCAAACAGGTGCTGGGTGCGGATACAAGTTTGCCGTGCCAAAACTACTGCTGGCAAACATTCATTGGAAACCCAGTGTATTTTCCAGGCTGCAAAATAGAAAGCACAAGAATGACTGTTGAAACATGGGTCAATGTAACAGCAACACTGAAGGACATCCTCAAAATACCTTCATTAAACTTGCTGCCATGCATTAACCACAATGCTGGACACGGATGATGTCCATAATAACCACACGTGGAACAGTTAGGGGAAATCTTTTTTTTAAAGAGGGCTGAGTAACCATGCAACATGCCTGTTTCATACTCTTTTCAATTCCAGCAGCACTTCTTACCCAGGGAAGGATGGAAATGAAAGATGTATGCCCTCTGTGCCTCAACAGCAGCAGCAGCAGCAGCAGCATTAGCATTTGTAGCAGTAATAGATATTTTAATCCTTCTGCTCTCCTAAGGAGCTTTGGGTGGAAATAAGGTCTTCCCCTCCCTCACTTAACACCCTCCCCCTTTCATGA